AGCCACATGGAGACCCCTGCCAGTGCTAAGATGCCTCTACTGCCACTGGATCCACAAGATTTTCCACCCGGTGATCTTCCCGCACTCAGCATCATTGCATGTGTTATTTGAGTCTGAAGAGGAATTTACAGACTGGTATCGGACATATGGGCTAATATTGGACTTATGGACTTGATCTGGACTGGGCCGGGATGTTTTCTTAAGGGACAATTACTCTTTGATAGAAAGCTCTTTCTTATCCACATAGGAGTGTCTATGAATTTGTTTCTCTAGTCCACCAGGACTCACACAGTATCCTATGTAAGTGGCCGAGTGTCTATGAATCCCTGGACACCATCATGGCCTGGCTCCCCTCATCCACGAGTTGGCTTTGCCTGGGTTAAGCCTTCATAATTTATGTACCTCCATAAATTATATTTGAGTTTGAGATCTCTTCCCCTCCCCACCCTGACAACAAATGGTACTGGGCCGGCATGAGTAGGAAGGAGCCCTGGTGCCTGAGGTCAAGTGCTTGGGTGCTGCCTGAACGCAGCAGCCACCCTCTCCAGCAGAAAGACACGGCAGTCCCCCTCCTCGAGGACCACAGCCTGGGGAGCCAGCTGGGAGTGCGGATGCATCTGCAGGGCTGCTGTCGGTTGGAATGGACGCAATGACTAGGCCTCGGTTGCTTTGGGAGCAGATCCTCTTCTAAGCCCCTGAGAAGCCCTTGTGGACGATTGCATCGAATTACACTCTTGATACCACCGTCCAGGCTCCCAATGTTAACTGCTCATCCATGTAAGGGAAAGCACAGCCCTAGAGGCTTTCTGCTTTGCAGTTTCTCCTCCTATAATTTAGAAGCAAGGTTGGCAACAAGGGGATCATTGCCCCGTGCTGTCGGAGGACTGTGTGTCTACATGCAGACACTCGTGGGAAAACACAGTCTTCTCATTCCATCCTCCCAGTCTCCCAGGAATTCTTCTAAGGCCACAGGTACCGTTCACACCCCAAAGCCACAACTGGCAAATAAGATGCAGACAGAAAGGAATAGAATGTTAAAACAGGTAAATAAGAGACAGGAAGCGGCTTCTCTCCTGAACGTTCCACTCCCTGGGAAGCTTTGCCGATCACCGGCCCCCGCCTGCGCATACCCACCGAGTAGTAAACATCTGGCACCTGCAGCAGGTTTTTGGTACTTCCGTTCTCATGCATTTCAATGGCTTCTCGTCCCCACTCTTGTGAACGAGGGTTCTTGGGGTACTCGGCATAGGGGGACATTTGGAAATCCCCACTTTTGAAGATGAGTTTGCTTATGTCGTTCTTACTCTTTCTGTGGAGAAACGGAAACATTGGAAACAGTCAGTGCGGGCGTTCTGTACAGAAACAGTGCCTGGAGAGCCCCCACGGTCAGTTCATGGAGCGCGTTGAGCCCAACATGAATGGTGCCCTGGGCGTGGAGGTAGCTAAGCATTGGGCTGCGATTCCATCCGCATGGTCAGCAGCTCCAAGCCACCAGCAGCTCCGCAGGAGACAGACTGGGCTTTCTACTCCCGTGCCAACAACCACAGTCTCAGAAATCCACAAGGGGTCCCTGTGAGTCTGCACTGACCCGATGGCAGGGAGTTAGAGTTTTGAGTGGGTGCAAGGAAAGGTACAAAACCATCTTTCCACCCGAAAGGCCCAGGCGAGGAAGCAGAGCAGGGAAACAGAGAGCTGGCTGGGCAGTTCACCTAGATCAGTCAAGGGGGCAGGGCTGACTGGGCTTGGGGTGGCCAGGAAAACAAGTCATTACACCACCAAAGCTGGAGCCAGAGGGCCCTTGGACTCTATCTACCCCCATAATTCCCAACCCATCTGAGGATCAGAATTCACATGGGGGAGCTTCTGGGTCTCACCCCGAGTGCATGAATGAGGATCTCTATGGGTGGGACAAGTCTGGTTCAGCGAGGAGAGTGGACCTGTTCCCTGGGCCACGTTTTGCTACTAGCAGTGCTGGGACTAGAATTCAGGCTCCACAATGTCCCGGACAGTGCTCTCTCTACCCTGAGATGTCTTATTTACCAAACTTCCCATGGCTGTAGCTATCTAGATAGAGTCTCATTTCAGCAGACAAGGACGTCTTTAAGCCAGGCTTTCCACTGGAGACATTTCACCAGTGTCTTATCTATGCTGGGCTTGGGATTATAAATTTCTAATGACACTGGCCTTCTACCTTACTTTTCCTATAAATAGGTGTTGAAGGGAAGGCGCAGTGTGACCCAGGGCCATAAAACCAAATACCCGGAAAGCACCTGGCTTAAGCGCTGGCATCTCCTACAAGCCTGAAACAGCCCTGTCACGGTTTTGATCCCTGGAGGACGGGTGTCTGATCTCAAACGATAACTTACTCTTTTACAACTACCAACCCTTCCCATGGCCAATGGTCATAAGCGCCTTCTCCAAACAGCTACAGTCAGTCTACGGCCATGTCCTGAGCACTCTTCTAGCTAACTGGTATAGCC